CTGCCGTGCGGCGGGGCCGCCGAGGAGAGCGGGGAGCGGACAGAGAGAAGATCGAGGGGCTCGAGGACACACGAATAAATGCACACAAATCCCAGGATTCCCCGTATTCTTCTACATTTTCTGGGTTTTCGTCTTCCCCCCGACTTCCCATACTTTCCTATATTTTCCTGCGAGTCGACGATTAATTGTGCCTGTGTGCTTTTTCCCCTCCTGAAGGAATAGTCCCAGACGTGATTGTGTCGTAAAAAAGAAAATCAGGACGGGAGATTTTGGACCGTTTTCGGCCTCTGGGGGCCCTTCCCGGGCCTGGGGAGCTTAAAAAAACGACTCAGGACGAAAAACCGGTCCCAGGGAAAGGGTCGGGACTTCGGGACTTCCAGGGACCCGGTTCTGAAAAACTTGGGACGTCGCATGTCTGGCAGCAAGGCCCGAGAGGACCCCCGAGAGGCTCCCAACATGCCCCAAGAGGCCTCCGAGAGCGCTTCGAAGAGACCTTAAGAAGCGTCCATGAGGACTCTGAGCCACGTCAATGTCGTCGTCGTCGCCGCCGCCGCCGCCGTTGTCGTTGTTCCCCGTCAGGGTCGGCGGCACCGGCCGTAAAGCCTCTGCACTAGTGACAAGAACAGCAAGATTTCCATTCGAATTCGAATATTCCGGAGGACAGCGGAAAGGGTCAGGCCAGCCACTCGAGACGATCACGCCTGTCAAATTCCGCCGAAACACAAGACAAAAAAAGACAACAACATACGAGCGAAAGGCTGGAAGACGGAAGGCCCGGAAGGCCCTCCTTGCGCGCGCCGCCGTCTTCTCGAGGGTCGAAACCTGCACTCTGGAGGTCGAGCCTCCATGCTCAAGGGAGGGAAAGACCCCTGCAAAAAACAAAAAAAAAAAGAAAAAAAAAAAGAAAAAAAAAAAAAAAAGGAGAAATCCTCCAGAACGGAAGCCGACCTCGATGTTGAAGGTTGTTGGATCCGCTGGGTCCCCTGCCCCACGCACGCTCCTGCACGCAAAGAAAAAAACAACAAAAAAAAAAACGAACCACCTGCCGTACGTACAGGATATATCAAGCGAATCCTCCGGACCACCACTCCTCCTCCTCCTCCTCCTCCTCCTCCTCCTCCTCCTCTTCCTCCTCCTCCTCCTCTTTCTCCCCCTCCTCCTCCTTCTCCTCCTCCTCCTCCTCCTCCTATGCCTCCTCCTCCTTCCCCTCCTCGTCCTCCTCCTCCTGCTCCTCCTCCTCCTCCTCCTCCTCCTCCTCGTCTGTAGCCGTTTTGGCTAAAGGTTTATGGCTCCTCGCGGCAAGACTGTATTCTGTTCAAGCCACCTCAGTCGAGCTGCGCGCTGCTGAGGGCGAGCCTCACGGTGTCTCCCGAGGCAGTCCCAAGCGTCGGATGGCAGGAGATACGAGCAACGAGCTCAGTCGGCACGCCCAGGGGCGTCGTGCGGCGGCGGCTTATCGGTGTTGCAAACGGTGCCCATCCAGTCTCGAAAGCAGTTTGGTGGAACAGAGCGGGACAGAATCAGCTGCTTGAGGTGTGGGGTGGCAGAGGCGTCGGCATAGTTGGGTCCGCGAGCCAAGCCGCAGCCAGCGGCGGCCAAGAACGCGCCTGGCAGCTCGAAGGCCCCCGCGTGGCAGAAGGGCAAGACGGCGGAGCTCGAGGAGCAGCTCAGGATCACCCGGCAGCAGTTGGCAGATGCAACGCGTGGTGAAGGTGGAGGTGGCGAATGCATGGAATTGGATGCAGGGAGATTGCCACCGCACGTCAGCAACATGCAGCTCAAAGCTCGGCTCGAGGAGATCGATTCATATCTGCGTGTAATCAAAGACTTGAAGGAATCCTGCTTCGTGTCGGCGGAGGAGAAGTTGGAAACTGACAGAAAACATCGCATCGAGCTGGAGGCGTCAACGCTGGTACCTGCGCAGCTAAGTTATTTGGCATACCAGTCCCATCGGTTGTAACAAAAGAAAATCAAGCATTAGTTGTTGGCCAAGGCTCATAAGGAGTTGGAGATGGCTAACGCAGCGATCCTCGAACAACAGTTTCTTGTCAAAGCTGAGAAGGGCATCTTGGCAACCGTAGGGGAGCAAGCTAACTTTGCAGCAATCATCCCCAGACCACCAGGTTCAGGTTCAGCGGCAACGGAGGTGGTCTCGGCGCTGGGTGTGCCTGTCGGCAAGATGGGCAGCATCCTCAAGGGTCTCGGCGACGACGGCACGCTCGGCACGAAGCTTTTCAGATCTTGGCCGAGGTCGTGGCGCTCGAGGACAAGAAACATGCGGCAGATGAGGCCAAGGAGGAGAGCGCACAAGCAGAAACACCAGCACCAGGCGGCCAGCCCTCGGCAGGGCAGCAGAGTGGTGGCGCAGGCGCGCACCAATATCAGGAGGGGGTGATGTGCCAATCCCGGAAGCCGACGAGACGGACTTGGACGAGCTCCGCGATTTCTTAGGCAGGGCAGGCATCAGGATTGATGGGGAGGCCGACGAGTCGACGGTCAGAGGCAGTGTCAGGAAGCTGGCAGAGTGCATCGAGGGTCGGAAAGCAGAGAAGCGGGCCACAGCTCATCCTACGTCAGGCATGGTGGTCTTTTCTCATGTGCGTAGCCGTTTTTCTGACTGCGTGAGGCATGCCGTGGAGTACCATGTGGGACCTGCTCGAGAACAGGAACATACCGTAGACGGATCTGCCCTTTCTCCGACCTTGCACCGCGCCGAACGCAACGGCCACGCTGACAGTGGACGTATCCACCCCGACAGTCTCTACGGACGTCGCGGCACCCAATGTGTCCATGGACGCTTCTGGCTCGGACGCGAGAGCGGTGTTTGGCATCGGCCCCAGATGTCGGTCTTCTGGAAGCAAGTCGGCTGGGCCCTCCAAGGCATGCCAGGTCCAGGCACAGTAGCACGCCAACCCTCTGGCCAGGCCCGCGGCGCAGGGCGAACCAGCCGATCTTCCAGCTCGGTGGGGTCGCCCCTGGAGAGCCAGCCGGCCGCTCGGCCGAACGAGCCGCCCCCCCCCCGCATGCATGGCGCACTCTTCTGCCGCCGCTGCCCGCCCGGCCAGCGCGGCCACTCGTGGCCCCGGCCTCGGCGGATCCCGCCCGTGGACGGCCCGCGGGGCCGCGAGCTGCGCGGGGCCCCGTGGCCGCGCGCGCCCGCCCGCGCTCCCGCGCTCCGCCGCCCTGCCCGTGCCGCCGACGAACGGAGCGCAGCCGCGAGCCACGGCGAGACTGCCGCCCCCGCGATGGCCAGGCGGCAGGCTCGTGTCCAGGTCGGCGGCGCGGGTGATTTTGCCATGGTTAGCCAGGACGTTGCTCTCGCTTGAGCGCGGTGCAAAAATGTTTGAAATCATAAGTTCTAGCCGGGTTTAGCCGCGCATGCTTCTCGCTTGGGCGTGGCTTACGAATGGCTAAACATGTTAAAAAATCTGTACATGTCTTAAGAAATTGTCGTGTCAAAAAACGCCGTGTCTAAACGTGGCTATTCGTTGCCAAAATCGATATATTGCCGTGACTAATCGTGGCTAAATCACAGCCGCGACCCAGACGGGGGAAACGCTAAACATCACTGCCCGCACGATCAAGCAAGTTGTCCCGCAAAAGACACACCCGCATCGCGCCAGGAGGAGGAAGCGGAGGAGGGGGAAGGAGAAGGAGCAAGAAGAGGATGAGGGTGCGGGAGGAAATTGGACACGATGATGTCGAGCATAACGACTACGACGGCGATGGAGAGGAATACGACGAACACGAAAACCAATGCAACGACGACGGCGGCGGCGGCGACGGCGGCGGCGAGGACGACGACGAGGAGGACGACGACGAGGACGAGGACGACGACGGCCTGAGGCAACCACCAAGGTACTTACAGGATTGAGGTTACACAGCTTAGAACTTCCACACCGTCATTCGCACATATTCGGATTAGAAAACGTGCGTGTTTATTTAATGTTTAAACGTGGCTATAATTTTGGCATGCGAACCGCTCGTTGGTGCCCGTGGCTAAACATGGCTATACGTGGCTGAATATGGTTAAACGTGGCTACAAATCATGCCGTGGCTATTTTGCGGGTACTCGTGGCTAAACATGTTTAATTCCGTGGCTAAAAATAATTAAAGATGTCTAAAACGCTTAAAATATACACCGTGCCCATCATAACGCCAACGAAACATTGAAAAAACATATGATGCGCGGGACATGGAAATAGACACGACCAGACACTTGAAAATCGTTGACAGTCGCACACCAGAACGACCCAATAATAGCCACGAGGCTTTGTCTTCCAGCAGGTCGGCGGGGCGGCGCACAATGAGCACTCCTCCTCCACAATTACTCAATATGAATACTACTCTCCCTCTTCCCCTGATGACAGCTTGGGAATATTCGCCCCCCCCCCGCGTACTGTTTTTTACACGCAGGTTTCCCCAGAGTTGGGTTTTCGCCTGCATTTTTCCGAAAATGCTGCTCTCGCTGAGGCGCCGGCCTCATTTTCGGGCCCCGTTCGTTCCGAATCGTGCTCCCGCCGGCGCCCGGGCTGCACGCGCGAGCCGGCGCCCGGGCCGGCGCTCGGGCCGGGTCCGGAGCCGGTTCCGGCCGGCGCCGGCCGGGAGGCCTCCCGGGCCGATTCCGACGCCCGGGCCGGCGCCCGAGCCGGCGCCCGGGCCGGACGCCCGAGCCGGTGCCCGCGCCGGCGCCCGGGCGGGCCTGGTCCGGAGCCGGTTCCGGCCGGCGCCGGAAAATCGAGTTCCGAGGCGGCGCCGAAAAAAGGCCATTCCAATACACATTTTTCTTTTGAAAATGCTGAATTTCTGCTTCTGGCGCCCGGGAAGCCTCCCGGGCCGATTCTGGCGTGCTTCCGCTCGTTCCGAATCGTGCTCCCGCTGCAGCGCTGGCCTCATTTCCGCGCTTCCGCTCGTTTCGACTCGTGCTCCCGCTGCAGCGCTGGCGTCATTTCCCGTGCCATGCCACGGCATGCAATGCAATGCTAGGTTGATACTACGCT